CTTGCTGGGCCACATCTGGCCCCCGGGCCTTAGGTTGCCTACCCCTGAAGTGGACTATTGAATGTGGAATCATCTCACCAGATGCTGTGAATAGGCAACATCAAGTTCTTTGATCTTCTCCTAAATCAGAATTGGACTTGCCATCCCATCAAAAAGAACATATCTCCAAAAAAAGGACCTATCTCTGGCATTTCTTCAAGCAGAGTAAAAGCAGATGTATGGCTATCTTAATTCTGTCCCTATTCTGCTTCTAAAATTATAAAAAAGTCTCCTGTTGGTCAGAATTGAGACTTAAGGAGATGGTGTGTTCTTTGAAAGCTCCTCAGAGATCAGTGACTTGAGCTCAGAACTGTAGGGACACAGCCTAGTGGCATCTGAAGGGAAACCATATTGTGACCTTTGGTGGATTTGAGGAAGGGATGGTTTGTCTCTGATACCTCAAGATTGGGTGAATTTGGCAGACATTCTCAGTCCAAGTCAGTTATGGCTTAACTTCTTATAATTTACTTCTCAGGGACAGGAACAATTATCAATAACAATTAATAAATAATGTACACAGGCAAGTAGAGAGAGCAGCACTGTGTCTATGGATTTCACCTTCTGACTTTCAGCAAAGTGACTATATGAATACTATTGTTATGTATCAGTGCTCTGTGCCCCAAGGAACCCAATATTTCATCTGTCTTCCTATATGATTATATTACACAGATATGTTTTGTGGAAAGGGAAGGAGACACAATTAAAGGTATATTCTAAGAACTGGCAATCATGTTGTGAGTTTCATTTTCTACCATAGGTGCAGTACAACAATGTTATATCAACTAGATTTAAATGTAATAGTATGCTTTTAGATGCCCCTCTTGAATGTTTCAGACACTAAAAGGCATTGAATTATCATCCATTTCAGAGCTTGAAAAATACTGTGTGCATTTTCCTGTTTGCATTTTAATGTCTGAGATACACTGTTTCAGAAAACCTTGGCTGAACTGTTTGGTTACATCATTTACATATTTAACTGCTGTTGAAGTAACAACTGAGCGTTTGTCCATTTAAGATTGTCTGTGAATCACAATTTCATCTGTTAATCAATTAATTGAGAAAATTTTGTTTCAGTGCTGCTCTCCAAACAAGATGGCTATAGTTATATATTTTTATATTTGCAGAAATACCATCTTTACCATTTTTAAGGGTGAAAGTTAAAATATAATTGGGAAGAAATCCCAAAGATCCTAGTTTAGATTACTGAGCACAAAAGCCACCTGAAATTCTCTGTCCTCATTGTGTGCAGAGAAATTGAGGGAAGCCACTGAATTTTCTTGTGAACAATTCTTTAGGCATTTCTCAAAGTGGGCTCACGATTAGTGGTGGGAACTTGTTTCTTCTTCATACTGCATTTCTGTGTGGGTTTCTTGATAGAATCTGAGTTTGCAGCCTGACTATCCTTAAGATCCTCAGTAGTATGTTGAATATCCTAGTGTTGTGTTAGGTCTAGAGGTGATGGCGAATTGCAACTTCTGCAAAAGAATGTGTAGAATATTCTGATATCCTGGAAAGCATTTTTTCCTCTTGGTGGGGGTGACAGTTTGAGAATTGGTTCCAGTCCTGCTTCTTTAGGACTCATCCAGATCCAAATGGTGGTCCTTATGAGTAATTGCTAAAAAAAACAAAACAAAAAAAAACTGCACAATTTTATCCCCAAAACTATTTGTAATCCACAAGAAACAATGGGAGAGATCATCTGAAGGCATGGAATGAGGTGCTATCAATATGTCAGTGGCACCAAAATATACTTCTCCATGCCTTCAAAAATAACATCAAGTAAAGATAGTGTATAGAATATTCTACACTGTATAATCTTCTCTATACACTCAGTTTTTTTGTGGGATGTTTACTTTGGTCAACCAAATCTAGGCTGACAAATGTTACTCAGAAGAAGTTGTCTTCATTTGCCCCTAAATTGTAGGATCACCTGTCAGGGGAAATTCGTCAGTTGGATACACTGCTTGAGTTCAAAACAGCAGTAAAGACTAGTCTCTTCTGGCAGTAACCAGTTGATTTTAAAATAGTAAATGTGAAAGTATGACTTTATTGTTATTAGTAGGTATTATGTGTTTTTAACTGGGGTTATTGTTGTATTTTAATCAGTTGTTGTTCCCTGCCTTGATCCATAGGGAAGGTAGGTAAGAAATATATTTTTGCATAGTTGAGAATGGCTTTACATATACTGACATGAGTGTTTTCTGAAACCTAAACTTATAGGGTAATTGCCACCCCCAAGCTAAAATATTTCAGTCACTATGTCTGAGATAACTGACTTTGAGCAGGTTATTATTCCAAATTAGTGAAAGAAGATGGCTGATATATTTTAAACATAATATTGTATTAAAGTGGTATTTCCGTAACTTCTTGGTAGTTATAAAAGTATGATTATTGTCTTGATACCAAAGATGTTAGAAAATACTTTATCAGTTTTCCTCCTTGTAGGATTCTCTTCTGTCAGCCATTGAATGGTACTTTTATCTTTGTCACTTATGGAACCTTGTTCTGTTGCACACATATGGAGCAGAGAGATGCATCATTTGAGTTAAGCTTCCACTGGCTTGTTTGAGATGCAGCAGAATACTATTAGATTTTCATTGATTTCTCCTGCAGATAAATTATTTAAAGAATGAAGAATTGTGTCTGGATACTGTCAGCACTTCATTCAATCCATATATCAGGTGCTGAAAACTGACCTATTTTGTTAAACAAACCTTTGCTTGTGTAGTGCTTGGCTTTTTCTAATATTTGTAGTAGTTATAGACTGAAAACACTGGCATTTCCCCCCCTTCTGTGTATGTTTTGGAAAGCATATGTTCTACTTGCTGTGTGATTTACCATTTCATGGAAGTGTTTATTTGGTGAATAATCAGTTATCTTAAGATAAAATGCATAGGCAAAAAGAACACTTGTTGATAGGCATACACTTTTTTTTTATTGTACAGTCACCCCTCCATTTTTGTGGAGGATCCATTTTAGACCCTCCCCCCGCAATAATGGAAAATCACAAATATTCAAGCCCCATAGGCTTGAATGGAGGTGTACGCCCGCAGGCATGCCCCCCATTTTGTCACCCTTCATTTGCCACCTGTGAACAGGCAAGGGACGCGAATTCATGTTCGCAAAACTGGAAGGGCGACTGTATTTACTGAAAAGAAAGCATCTGTTCACAAGCCCAGTTTGATATATTTTTGCAGTATGCCACTGAATGATAGTTCCTAGAGATCTTGTGATGGAAGGGGCTGCTATTAGTATTATTACTTATAGGTTTATTTATTCCCTTGACCACCAAACCCCCTGGGATTCAAGGCACCTCACAAATGAAAATGAGTACAGTATATTATGCTCATATCCTGTTTATGGGTTTTTTCATGGATGCCTGTTGGACTATTATGGGCACAGAAT